TGAGCTCAGGCAGGTGGACATCAGTCCCTATTTTTACCTACTGTACTAGATGTCTTCATATGCAGAGAAGAAAATTGAAAGATTAAAAAACACATTACAAATAATGAAACAAGGAAAAGGCCTCTCAAGGAAAATTGCTTGTATTACTTTAATTGGGCTGTTGTCTTTTATAAGAAAGATCCAAGCCCTGGAAACAAAGTGAACAGAGGGAGCCTGCCCTGGCTGGTCCAAGCTTCTTTTGCGGACGACAGAAAACACCAATTTTTAAAGCTGTGCGCTTTTTTTGTTGTCTTTTAGCACCTTGAAAGTGGTGTGTCAGTGTCCTCGAAGTCATTCTCTTAGTGGCCAGGGTATCAGGATGTGAGGGAGGATAAGCTGGAAGAGATGGAGCTACAAGACTGCTTGGGTTGGGGGGCGCCTAGGGGGCTCGGTCAGTTAGGCGTCTGACCTCGGCTCTGGTCATGATCTTGCAGTTCGTGAGTTCGAGCCCCGCAATGGGCTCTGTGTTGACAGCTCGGAGCCTGGAGCCTGCTTCGGATTCTGTGTCCCCGTCTCTCTGCCCCTCCCCCGCTCGCACTATGTCTCTCTGCCTCTCTCTGAAAAATAAAAAAGACTTGCTTGGGCTGGTATCAAACCTTGCTCCATTCCAAAGAGCCAAAGGGATTCCAGTGAATTCTAGGCCAAGCCTCTGATTTAGTCTGAACCAAAAGAACCACCCAGAGCACGCAACCGGGACAGAGAAGCAGGAAGACTCCCCTTCCCCTGACCGGAGCAGGCAGACGGGACCAGAGCCTCCTGACTGGCACTGGTCCTCCCCAACTTTCTCTTTTCCTTTCTGCCTGGCAGCAGGGTCTAGGACCAAGCCAGCCCACAGCAAACCTGTCTAAGACCAGTGGTCCTGCACCATTTGATGTCAGTGCACCCACGCGGACCATCAGGAATCCAGCCCGGGCAAAACGAAGCCCGGTGGCTTTAAAACCCAAACCCGTGCTGCCCTCCATGACGCTGAAGCAGGTCCTGGGGATGAACTCCCCTGTTCGGCCAACTCAGTAACTTCTTCCCACCTGACAGAATAGATCACATCCCCAAAGTCCGAATCATCTCTGCTGTCCGGCTTTTCCTTTCATTCTCCCTGTCCAGAAATCTGAAAACCAGGGGCGCCTGAGTGGCTTAGTCGGTTAAGCGTCCGACTTTCGCTTGGGTCATGATCTCGCGGTTCGTGGGTTCGAGCCCCGCGTCGGGCTCTGTGCTGACTGCCTGCTCTGAGCCTGGAGCCTGTTTCAGTCTGTGACTCCCTCTCTCTCTGACCCTCCCCTGCTCACGCTGTCTCTCTCTCTCTCTCTCTCTCTCTCCTAGAAATAAATTAAAAAAAAAAAAGAAAAAAAAAAGAAATCTGAAAAACACTCCCAACAAAAGAAAAAGACAAACCTACTTATTAAAACAAGTCTAACTGCCTTGACTTCAAAATTACATGTTTCCTGACAAAACTGCTCTTATAAAGGCACTCCAAGTTCTATTATCATTTAATTACAATTTCTATGCTGCTATTTATGTGTGCGTGCTTGGAAGCCAAAGAATGAAGCTCCAGCTACTTCTGCACTTACCACAAAAACAACAACCTTCCATAAATCAGGTTGTTTTTTTTTTTAAAAGATGTTCTCACAGCTCCGGTCAAGGTGAGCAGAGCCAGGGAAAAGGCAAGCCTAACATATATGGTCATCCCCAGACTTTCTTACTACATAAAGGGGAAATTAATAAAAGAAGGGGAAAAAAAATCCCACACGGTGTTTTCTTTCCCCATCATAATCTTTCAATTTTCTTTAGAGAAATGCCAGCCAATAACTAATTAGAACCATATCCTTTGTTATCCCAATGGGAAGAAGTATATGAATGGTTTGAAGGAACAAATGTTAACGAGAACTTTAAAAACTTAGTAATCTGGAACTCTGGTGTGCCCTTCAGTGTAAAACAAAATTCTATTCTTTGAAACTATTTTTATAGTTGGCGGAGGAAAAGGGCCAGGTGCCATGGGCAAGAAGGTAAGTGCTCACCCACTCGGCACCCTAAAATGGGGATGCCCTGGGCTTCTCCCCTGTTTTTATCATGAAGCCGCCATCACAAGCTCCCAGACTTCTAAGCATCTCCATTTCAGAGAGACAAAAACTCAACACTACAAAAAAAAAAAAGGGAATTGTTTACTTTCTTTGGTTTCAAGGGAGAAAATAATTCCTTTCAGAGGGAGTACATAGCTTTTGTCATTTCTGAAAGTATGTTTTCCATAAGAAACACAGCTGGAGTCTTTTTACCTGGCATATCGCTACAGACGGTTTCCGGGATCAGACAGACCTTGAGCTGCCTATTCATGAACATCCAGGAGTAAACCACCTCTTTGAAAACTGGATTTGTTTTACACAACAGAGTGAACCCAAAGGACGCGAGACAGAAAAACTCAGAGCAAAAAATAAATGCGTAAGATGCCAGGCACCATAGTCTGGGCATGGTCAGCTTTCTGTATTTTCAAATGAGGGTCTGCCCTGTGTCATCCAGCCTCTCTTCCTGGTGGAATCAGGGCTACATTTTTTTTTGCTTGTGCAGGGGACGAGCCCAGGCAGAGAGAACCAGGCATGGCATAGATCATATGAAACAGTCTCCTTTTTCAAGAAAAAGCTTTGGGGCGCCTGGGTGGCTAAGTCGGTTAAGGGTCTGACTTTCGCTTAGGTCATGATCTCGCGGTTCGTGGGTTCGAGCCCCGCGTCGGGCTCTGTGCTGACTGCCGCTCAGAGCCTGGAGCCTGTTTCAGAGTCTGTCACTCCCTCTCTTTCTTTTTTTTTTTCTTTTTTTTTAAATTTTTTTTTTTTATTTATTTCTAGAGAGAGAGAGTGAGCA